ATTGCGGCCTGGGTGCTGCGGGTTGTTACGGGGAGAGCGCCTCTGAGCAAACGGACTAGGTCCAGATTGCAGTAAATAGGACTCTGACCCGCAGCCTGCGGGTGAACTGAAGGACGCCCGCCCACCTTCTCCCTCCCGGCCCCTGTCCTCTCTGTGGTCTGAGGGAGCATGTGCGGGTCAGCCCTGGGGGCTCTGTCCTCTCTGTGGTCTGAGGGAGCATGTCCGGGTCAGCTCTGGGGCCCCTGTCCTCTCTGTGGTCTGGGTACCTGGTCCGCTCAGTCTCTGTGTCCTCAGTTTCTTTCCCAGCGATGTCGGTTCCTTGGCTCAGGTGTTTGCGGGAGAAGCATTGTTTCTGAATAGGCTTGATGTCGGAGGCGCTGGAAATGAGCCGTTGGTGCGGGAAGTCAGGGCGCAGACCCTGCTGTGAGGCCAGAGGGCTGGGCTCTGTCTGTCTCTGCTCGCCCTTCCTTCCGTGCTGACTGAGCGCGGCCAACCACACGCGGGAGCACGGCGCCCGCGGGGCCGGACCGGTGCGGGCAGAGAGCAGGGCGCGGGGCTCGGGGCCGTGCGGCACGGGGTCGGGGACCTGCAGGACGGGCGTGTCCAGGCGGAGGGCACCGTGGGGGCGAGGCCCTGAGCCCGACGCCGTCTGGAAAGCTCTGCAAACAGCCGAGGCCAGTGCGCTTGCGGCCGGGCCGCTGAGACAGCTGGCGCGCACGAGCGGGCACCACCGGCCCCTCCGCCCGCGGGGTCTGCGCGGCAGGCACGATCCCGGGGGAGCGGGGCGACGGCGAGCCCTGGGCCCGGGGCGGGCGGGCGGCCTGGGGTCCCGGGCACAGCGGGGGCTGCGGGCGTGGGGAGCGCGGGGACCGGGAGCGCGGACACGGCCTGGCCCCAGCGCGCGCCTCTCCTGCGCGCGGGCGGCCCCATGTGCTGCGCCGTCGGGACTGTTCGAAGGAGGTTCTGCCGAGACCACCGCCGTGTAGGAAATGATGCGCGGAGGTCCCCCACCCCCAGGTCACTTCTGGCAGAACTGAGCCGCAGCCCACAGGGGCGTTGACCTGCCCGCCCGCTGCCCTCACTCAGACCCGCGGTTCTTTGCGCTCCTCTGTGGTCCGCGAGTGCTGTGCTGTCTATCACAAGGGGAGGTGGCGTGCCTCGCTCTAGTCCACATACAGAACATCGCATCCTGTAGATACCGCTCGACACAAGGTTGACATGAGGGAAGCCATTGTAGAAAAGAAACCGTACTGTAACTTTAAATGACCTCAAACTAGCCCAGACAGGCTCTGTAGATTCTGTGGCCCCTCCCAGCTGCTTTAAGATGATAGCTTTCTTCTTTCGAGTTCCTTAGGAATGTGATGACCCCGGGCAGAGAGTCTATGCTGATGGCTATCATCAATGACAACTGAAAGATCAGGGTATAGGCATTGCTCCATTCTCTGGTGCATATCCAGTAAAACAAAGGACTAACGGGAACTGTGACCAGATGTCTGCCCCTCCAGAGACCAGCCCCGTATATCGCTGGCCTGTAGTCTTTGTTCTGGGAGATGGTTCTTTTGGACATGAGGCGACCATCTTCCCTCTTGCTAGCAAGCTGTAATAAAGGCCTTTCTCTCCTACCCCCTTGCCTCCTGACTATTGGCATGTCTTGCAGTGGGCAGATGACCTCCCCCTTAGGCGGTACCAATTTGGCGACCATAAAGGGACCCTTAAGTGCTGCTTGTGGCCAGTCGACCTCGGTCAGGCAACCTGTTGGGTAAGTCCCTAGCAGTCACTGAGGCTCTTTGTGCGGAGGAACTGCCCTTTGCACGTTCCTGGGCCAATGCCGGCTGCCTCCTAACGCTGATTGTGGTAGGGAGAGAAACGGCTAGGTCTGGTGAGTCAACAGGCTCAATCTGGAATGGGTAAGTTGCCTTGAGGACGCTCGTGAGCTCCCTTCCCGTCCATCTGGGGTCCTTCTGCTTGCGGCAGGGCCATCTGGTGTCCAACAGGACTGTCTGGGCGCACACTCAGAGAGGGAACAGTTGTAGGACTTTATACCCTAAATCTGGGAACTAGTTCACTGGTATCTGGTTGTAGGGCCTGTGCTTTGCTTGCTCAGTGGAAACTCCTAGGCCCATTGCAACCCTGTGTCCTTCTGGCTCCCTTCTGGCCAGGCAGCCCAGATTTGTGACGATCTGGTCCGGGCCAGCCTGAATCCTCCTTATCCTACATGAAGAACATCGCATCTTAGAGGGACACAGAGCCCCTCCCTGTGAGCTCCTGTTCCTGGGAACACTGGTGGTACCAAGGACAGCCCTTTGGCAAGCATGCAGCCTTTGCTCCTCTGCCTAGTTAAGCAAGCTTCTCTTAGGGGGTGGTTGCGGGCGTGCGCATACTTCCGTCCAGCTGTCCGCCACTGGACACTCTCCCGTAAGTAGGGCCCAATAAACCTATATGTCTCATTTGCAGTCTCTATGCTGTTTCTTCAGTCTCTCGACACAATACCCTGCTGCCCTAGCCCAGCTGAGCTTGTGGCAGAACACTGGGTTTTCTGTGTCTGTGTCTGTCGACAAGTAGCTTAAAATTGGCTGCTTGGGGACTGAGTCGTAACAAACTCCCTTTAGAAATTACCTTGCTTGTTGTGGCAACCTGGGAAAAGCCCCCTAAAAACTGGAGATAGTTGTAAACAGCTGGCAATATAACCCGGGATAATTTAAAGTTACAGTGGCCATTTTTGGGCTCCTTTTGAGCTTTTGAACCAAGAAAGAAATCTTTAAAGAGTCAAAGGTCCACCCCTGGGAGCCCCAACTCTGGTTTCCAGGCCTCATCACCCCGGCGACCCTGTGGAGTGCCCTCTCTTGGCCGTTAACCTGTTGAGTATTTTAGGCGCCTACCGAGTCAGTTATGAGGATAGGAGACCTGTGACTTATTCTGTAAACTGTCCCGCTGGGGCTGTGTGCCCCAGCATGAGAACTGTTGTGTGACCCTTATCTTAATAATTCTTGGGAAGAGGCTGTGAGGGTGAGGCCTGATCCCCTCTTTTCCCTTCTTTGTCTGTTTGTCACCTCCTCTGTTGTCACCAAGTGGAGGTTAAGTTCAGGCTGGACCTGAGCACCACCTGGACCTTCTGTACTTAGCTCTTCACCCTGGCCACAGGGAGCCCCAGCCCCCACCAGCTCCAGGCCTTTGCCTCCTGCCTCCCTGGCTCACCTTGTGCTGGCTCAGGGACTAAGTGCCTGGGCTGAGTCTCAGGGCCTTCACCAAATCTTAAAGCGATTGGCATCTGCACTCGGGCTCTGCGCCCTTTCTCTGGCCGCTGTCAGTCAGACGCCAGCTTTACAGCCATGGGGAATGCCCCAAGCATCCCCGGAGACTCACCCCCTGGGTACATTTTAACTAGTTGGAAAATGCTGTCAACTGGGTGGTTTATGCCCCAAAAACTCCATCTGGGAGGAAACTTGAGTGGTTTCTCTGTGCCTTTGTGATGTAGTTAATTCCCAGGACTGAAGGAAAAAAAGGGAAAAAGGAAAAGCGGCCATAAGAGCACCCTCGCCAAAAATCTAGCATCTTGAGTGTCTTCTCCACAAATATTGGTGTAATGGCTTAAAGCAAAATTTGGATTCATAACTAGGGAGCTTTATATTCCATTACCTGATTCATAGCAGTAATTTTAAAACAATAGCTAAGTTATCTACTTTTGGCTTCTTATTGCAGAGAAACAAAAGTATTTGGGTCTATTAGTAAACATGCCTTGCGTTTCATTAAAAAATTATGCTTATGAAGTGGTGTGTTTCTAGAAATTATTAAAACTGTTTGATATCAAAAATGTTGATATAAAAGTTCATGATTGCTTAACTTTTTAGTTTTTACTAGGGTCTGTAAGGGTTAAAATTCTAATTAATATATGTAATTAAAGCTACTGGAAATTAATAAGGTGAACATTCAAGGAAAGTAAAATGTATGTTTTCAGTAAAGAAGGTGTACAGAATGGAAATATTTTTGTTTGTTGGATTAAGAAAGATAAATTTATCCTAAAGTCTAGAAGGGAAGAAAAACAGCATGGGGCAAATTCTGAATGTAAAAAGAAAGTTATAGAAGGTTTGTGAAGCAGAAATTCAGAAAGGAGTTTTATGCTGGTCAAGTTGACTAAGATTGAAGTAAATCCAATTGAGTAAATGAGTTTTAATGTCAAAAATAATCTGGTGCAAAAGTTAAAATTTGGTTTTCTCTCTCAAGGATAATTTTCTTGAATTTTTGGCCTGCTCTGAGTCTACCTAAAAGACAGAAAATCTATGTTTTGCTAAAATAATTTCCTATGTTCAGAAGGACTGAGGTCTTAAGATTTTTTGACTCTTGTAACTGCTCTTGACTGTTTATGTTGTCACTTTGAATAGATACCTACTTAGGTGGTATTATGTGGGTGAATGCTATTGATATAGTTGTTTTGAAATTGTATAACATTCCTAAAATTCTCATCTGTCCTGCTTGTCAGACATAATTCTGGTTATTCTTTTAAAAAGTGTTGTATGTCACAAAATTAACCAAATTCCTTTCTCAATTTCCATTTTTGAGTCTTTTGTTTACAAACAGTTATTATTTTACTCTGATGCTTTTGCAAAATATGTTCCCTCTTCAGAGAAATTCATGGACAGGACTCTGGCGCTTACTCTAGAGTACAGGTTTCTGATAAATTTTCAGATCATAAAACTGAACTGGGTAAGAAATTACAGAACTCTAATGGAGAAACTGATGACTTCATGAACTGCTAACAAGATTAAGGTCAAGAATCGATTACACAGGACTGAATGAAGCGGAGGATGATTGTAATTTGTGGCTTTTCATTGAGATATTGTTGATTTTTAAAATTTTTTTCCTCAGATTTAAGGAAGTCTTTTTCTCTTTTCTCTCATGCTAACTATGACTTATAGCAATTTGGTAAAATTATACCTTTGTGAGCAGAATTGAAACATTTATCTTTTTCTCCCTACTTGATCCCTCCAGAATTTGGAAACACTTCGTGAGTGAGTATGGTTATTTTCATGGCAATATCGTCATTTGCGTAAGTTCAATAAGAATCTGTTCTCCTTAAAACAAGACACGTTTGGAAACACTGGTTATATTACCAAGGCTTTGACTGGAATGTCATATTTGAGAGAGCCATACAGATTCAGATATGGCAAGACAGCTTTTGAAGAATAAAGCTTGACCTTCTGGACTAAAGCCACTTGGAAATATTGGCCTGGTACCTTGTTTCCTAGCAACCTTACAGGTAAGTAAGAAAGGTCACTTATCTGGCAGGCACCTGGAACCTTCAAATATTTTGGGGAACCTCAAGAGAAGAGAAGAGTCCACCTAAATCGGTAGGTACTGCAGGAAAAAATCTGATGGCAAGTCCTTGGCTTGGCTTTTCTGGCCTTGATAGGCCTTTAAAGTTCAATCTGAGATTCCTTATAAAAAGTTCCAGCAAAGCAGATTTAAAAGAGCCTATGTAGTCTTACATAGGCTGCACTTACGTAAATAATTGGACCAAGTTTTATCGAAACTAGACTTATTTTGCCAACCAGTTAATCTCACTTTGGCTATCTTTTATAAAAAATGAGGATGATTTTAGAGAGAAAGATTATGTTTCAGTAGAAGCTGTAGTACAAATTCATGGATATTAGATTCTAGTTCTGTTAATTGTCTTTGAAGTTTTTGTTGTATCTGTAAACTGGACTGGATTGTGACTTCTTCTAGTCTCCTCAAATATCTGGCTGCAAATCTGCAAACTAACATTTTCAATTTTTTCCATTATTTTCATTCGAAATCATTGAGAACCTGCCCTTTTCCTGAAGCCTGGAGGACTTGATGTAAACGTAAGAGAAGGTTCATGTCTGCTGCTGTGGAAGCCACTCAGAAAGGTACCTGAACACCTGATGACATCATCAGAGGCACTTCAAACTGCAAAAGATGCTTTGACTCTGACAGCTAGAGATCTCTGTGACTCGCTGCCACCTGGGCTCAGAAGTTGGTTTATAACTTGCTCCCACCATTAACATTGTTCTCTTTTTGTCTCTCTAGAAATACATCTTATTAAATACCTGGTCACTTGCTCACGCAACATGGGCCTAACTTTGGGAGCCCACCTGCTGCACCTACACCAATACTTCTTTCCAGGTAGAAACCAGCGTTAGTGAAATAAGGGAACAAGCAAGCAACCTGGATACAGACAACTAGAAAGCATCAATCCCCTTTCCTATCAGACTTAGGTGACTGGTTTACTAACCTTTTCTCTTCGATGCCAGCTGGGACCAAATCCATCCATGTGGGTATAATAAAAGGTGGCCTCACTTTAGTATTAATAGGTCTACTGTTATGCTTAGTCATTAAATTGTGAATAAAATGTATATCTACCTCAACCACCAAGGCTTCCAGGTTGACAGCATGACAACTCCCTCTTAGAAACCTCTTGGCCCATTTTAAGAAGAGGGTAACTCACGTTGCCCTGATTGAGCAGGAAGTAGCCAGAATGAACACGATGGCCCTATTCCCTACACCAGCGTGTGATTATGCTGGGTGTATAACGGACGGGGGAATTGATACTGCTCAACACAAGGTTGACATAAGGGAAGCCATATTGTAGAAAAGAAACCATATTGTAACTTTGAATGACCTCTGACTGACTAGCCCAGACAGGCTCTGTAGATTTTGAGGTCCCTCCCAGCTGCTTTAAGATGATAGCTTGGTTCTTTCGAGTTCCTTAGGAATGTGATGACCCCGGGCAGAGAGTCTGTGCTGATGGCCATCGTCAACGACAACTGAAAGATCAGGGTACAGGGTGTTGTTCCATTCTCTGGTGCATATGCAGTAAAACAAAGGACTAACGGGAACTGTGACCAGATGTCTCCCCACCCAGAGACCAGCCCCGTGTACCACTGGCCTGTAGTCTTTGTTCTGGGAGATGGTTCTTTTGGACACGAGGCGACCATCTTCCCTCTTGCTAGCAAGCTGTAATAAAGGCCTTTCTCCCCTACCCCCTTGCCTCCTATTGGCATGTCTTGCGGCAGGCAGACGAGCCCACTTGGGCGGTAACAGCAGGGTCCCTGCTGGCCCTTTGTAGCCACTGCACGGTCACCCACCCCAAGCCCCTGGCCACCACCAATCTGCCCTCCATTCCGAAATTCTGTCAATCCCAAAATGTGACGTAAATGGTTTCGGATAGTGACCTCGAGGTGCTGACCTTTTCCACTCAGCCTGAGTCCCTGGAGTTCTGCCTGGTGGTGCCTCTGTCAAGAGTTGACTTGTCCTCAGTGCTCGGTGCAGTCGGTGGTGTGGGTCACAGTCTGTGAAGGCGGCCACCTGGGCGAGGACACTTGGGTTGTCTCCAGTTGGGGGTATTAGAAATTAGGCTGCTCCAGGTTTCGTGTGGACGCAGTGTCATTTCTCTGGGCTTGGTGGCCGGGCGAGCCGTGGCTGGGCCACGTGGCGGTTGCCTGTTTAATTTATAGGAACTGCAGACTTCCAGAGCGGCTGCGCCATTTTACACCCCACCATCAAAGTCCGAGAGGCCCAGTTTCTCTGTCTCCTCACTGGCTGTTTTCAGCTCGGCCATTCTGACGGCTGCAGCGGCCTCTCCCTGTGGCTGACGTGTTGACCTATTCCCCCGGCTCATTCGCTGCCTCTCATGACGTTTGTCCGTTTTCTAATTGCATTGTTTTGTTTCACTGTGGAGTGTACACCTCACCCTCAGTCCTCTGTCGGATGTGGTGGATTCTCGCTGTTGGAGGTGGTTCTGTCTGAAATCACACAGACACTGACTTGGCGAGTCCCGTGCCACTGCCCCCGGGCAAGAACGAGCGAGGGTCCCACCAGCCTCTGGGCACGACATTTTTGTCAACCGACCAATAGGTGACTGGAGGGCTCGTGCCTGGAGGAAGCTCGTCTCACACACGTGTTTTCTCCCTGCACACGTCCCAGCCTTCTCGAGCTCGGGAACACTAGACAGCACTCCAGCTGGGCGCCTGCCGGCCATTTTAAAGAGTGAAATTACCAACAAGCAGCACAAGAACGCAAACAACAGAGCACCAAATAGACCGTGAAAAGGCCACTTGTTTACAGTCCGAGCGCTGGGACAAGAGGGCAGGGTGAGGCCTCGTTCCACCTCGGCTGGGAGCCTGGGCAGTGGGAGAGTCGAGCTTTGAAGCTCTGAGCGTGTCCGCCAAGGCTGCGAGAGCACCTCGAGTACTGGTTTCGCGGTTACAGGTAAACCTATGGGTAGGTGAGTTCACGAGTACAGAATCTGCAAGTAACGAGGACCAACTGGCTTGCACATGTTTTCTTCCACTGTAGCTTGTCTTTTTATCCTCATCTCATGGGCTTTTGCTGAGCAAAAGCTTTTAATATTCATGAGATCAAGTTACCAGTGTTTCCTTTTACGAATCATGCTTTAGGGCTCGCTCAAGTCCAAGCGCTCTTTGCCTAGCCCTGGATTCTGAAGATTTTCTCCTATGTTTTTCCTGAAAGTTTTATAATTTTATGTTGTATATTTAAGTCCGTTATTTGAGTTAATTTTCACAAAGTGTGAGATTTAGCTCGAGGTTCATTTTCTGCGGACATCCCATTGTTCCAACACCACTTGTTAAAGGTTCTCCTTCCTCCGTTGAATTGCCTTTGCTCCCATCAAAGATCAGTTGGGCAGATTCGTGTGGGTCTGTTCCTGGGTCTCTGTTCTGTCCTGTTCATCCGTGTGTCTGTCCCTCTGCGACACCCACTGCCCTGACTTCTGGGGCTGTATAGCAAGGCTTAACGTCGGGTAGAGTGATTCTTCCCACTTTATTCTTCTTCTTCAAGACCATTTTAGCTACTCTGGGGCCTGTGCCCTTCCACGTGAGTTTTAGAACAAGCTTGTCTGTGCCTACAAGAGGCCTTGCTGTTTTTTTATGTTTCGTTTTTTTTTTCTTTTATTGAGAGCATGACAGTTTGTTGTGCACAGGAAGGCTATGACTTCCTGTATTTACGCTAACAAACTTTCTTTAAGTCTGTTTGACTTTTGAGGACATGAACATCAGTTTATTTAATTAATTTTACAAATATATTAAGAACCTCCTTGTGTTGGATGCTAGAAATCTAGTAGTGAAAAAAGTGGACATACTTTAGCAGTTCTCAGCATGCATACTGTGTATTTTAAATAAATCGCGTATTGATAGAACTGTAGAACTGGTCAATTTGGCCCTACTTTACTTGGTATTAATTGAATATTTGAAATTAAGAGATTTGCCCCATATTCATAAAAATTTTCGTTAGAATGCATCCCCTCAATGCAGGATTTGATATTATCACCAAAAACACTGGAATGTCAGTCAAGAGGACAAAGTCTGAAGTCTCCGGGAGCCCAGAGTATAGATTTAGGAAAATGCTTGATCAGCAAAACGTAACTACACAATATTCTCCAGTATCTAATGGAGAAGACAATGAACTAAGTGTTGCAGCTTAGACTTTCCTCCAAAGGAGGAAAATAAAGCTCAAAGGAAAACTGATTCATTTTCCGGAAACTTACTTTATGGCCAACTTACTTTATGGCTCAAGAGTGAGATGGGCAGTGGGTGATGCAGAGAGGAACTGCCAATGGAGAAGGTAGACGGGGCACACGGCAGGCCAGCGCTGGCAGATTTTTAAAGTGCAGGAAGGGGACAAACAGGGAGGAAATGGCTACAGCAAGCCCTCCACTCAGCCGGGCTCTGTCCAGTGGCAGACGACCAGGGACAGGCCTCAGGTCTAGAGCCAGTGTGGAAACATAACCCCATAACCCGCAGTGGGAGAGGAGAGTCAGCTGCAAGGGCTGAGTGCTATGAATAAAACGCAGTGCTGTGGGGAGGGAGATGGAGAGACGGAGAGAGAGGAAGATCAAGCAGAGTTGAACCACGCACACCGCGGGGTCCCAACACATCCTGGAAGGGAGCGTGCGCGTGTGTGGTGCGCAGGGGTGCAGAGGCGGCTCAGATGCCTGGGCGGGCAGCAGGGCAGTGTCAGGCGACATTTGGGTCTGGGCAGCAGCTGTTTGGCAAGCCTTTACCGTTTCTAGACTTCACGGAGCTTGAGCTAGTTCAAGAGTATGGCTGATCTCTTGCTGGGATTTTGGTAGGAGGTGCATCGGACTTACAGACCTGTCTGGGGATAACTGACCTGTTCTGTGGAGCGGGGTGATGGTGGCCACCCCCCTGGGTCTTGGGAGGCCTCGGTGTGTCCCAGGTCCGCCCTAGGGAGCATCTTGCATTCTTAGGGCTCCTGTCCTTAAAGTGATGCCCATGGGCAGCCCTTGTGGGTGACACTTTGCCAGCAAAGCTGTTGGTCTCAGTTTTGCTGACTTTCAGTAAGAAGATGACACCACGTGGGCCAGCCGAGCAGCAGCTGTGGCCAGCGGCCTCCACAGCTTGGAGGATGTGTCCGCCCCACCCCATCCCGGTGTCCTGGCCACAGGCTCCCGGCACCAACCCGCACCTCGCCGGCCTGTTCCCTGTCTGTGCAGGAACACACAGCTGGGGCTGCGCCCGCCCTCATGGGTCTGCGGTGTGCACCTGGCGCTGCGAGGAGGCCTGGCAGGTGCGGCCCACTGTCATGGAACAGACCACCTAGAGGGGCAGGGGCTCTGCTGTGAACGGACTGCTGGTCCAGGAAGGGAGGCGGCGGCCGGGGGGCGGGGGGGTGACAGCCCTGCGTGCAGGTCACCGAGACGTAACCGGTGGTCCTGGGTGGGGGTCCAGCAGTGGAACCGGGCCCCCAGCGGCCCCTCGTGACCCCACCACCCACCCCCCGAGTCAGAAGCCGTGTCTGTGCATCAGCTGCTTCCCGTGTTGGTTTGCTCTGATGCAGCTGAGCTGGCTCCCGGGGCCGGGTCAGGTAGGGGTCCCAAAGAGAGCGCCTGTTCCCCCTGGGGGCCGGGAGGGAGCACTGGAGTGAGCGGGCATTTAGGTGCTGAGGGGGGTTCTGGGGTGGGAGGGGTTTCAGTGGCTGGAATTGAACATGGGGGCCTAGAGGGGGCCACTCAGAGCGGCTCCCCGTGGGAACAGCTACCCCCCCGACAGTCCAGGAGTGAGCCCAGGTGTGTGGCATCAGCTCTCACGCCACAGGTCGGGTCCCTTCAGGAGACATGGGTGTGACTGCGGAGTGCGGACAGCTGGAGAGTGGCAGGAGGCTGGAGACAGGAGGAGGAAGTTCTAGGAATCCATGAAATATGGCAATCCAATTTTTAAAAAAAGTTTACATTATTTTAAAATTGTGGTAAAATATATATAACATAAAAATTACCATTTTAACCATTTTTAAGCATAGATTCCATGTCATTAAGCACATTCACATTGTTGTGCAACTGTCACCACATACCCCACTTCCAGCAGTGGACAGATCATCCAGACAGAAAATCTGAGGAAATACTGGACTTGAACTATACCTTAGACCAAATAGACCTAACAGACGTATGCAGAACATTCTCGTTTTCTTTAGTGATGTCTTTTCAGGGCGGAAGTTTTTAATTTCAACCCAGTTAACTTTCATGGATTTTTTCTTAAGGTGTGTGCTTTTTGTACCTGAGGTCATGCAGCTGTTATCTACTCTCACTTCTAAAACTTCTGTAGTCTGCTTTCACACTCGGGTTTTCATTGCCTGGGGTCAATGTGGACGTGTGGTGTGAGGTGGGGTTAACTTTGGCGTTTTGCTGTTTGTGTGACCAGCTGTCCCAACCCTGCTCACAGAGCAGCCCTCCTTCCGCGCTGACCCGCAGTGTGCTTGCTCACACCCGACTGGCCCACCTCTGGGAGTCTGTTTCTGGCCTTTGCATTCTGCTCCACGGGCTCCATCTGCCCGTCCCTGTGCTGGCACCGTGTGGTCTTAATTACTGCATCTTGAGGACAATTCTTTGGCTCTGGTGCGGCTCTATAACAAGCCAAGACCTCGAGACGGCACCGTGGCTGTTGGCGCTTTGCTCATCCACGTGAATTTTAGAGTCAGACTGCTTATGATCTGTTCACATACATCCTCTTGCACACGCACAATAGCATTTTGATCGGATGCATTAAATGTTTGGGTCACGTTGGGGAGAACTGCCATTGGGGTGCTCTTGAGTTTTCAAGTCCATGAACATCACACATCTCTCCATTTATTTAGGACTACTTTAATGTGTTTTACAGCAATTGTATCATTTTTCTAGAGTTCTTACATACCTTTTGTTAAATTAATCCGTGTGGTCTTAAAAATAATTTTGATACTATTGCAAATGGCATCCTTGTGAAATTGCATTTATCTAAACTTTTGTTCACGATGTCTAGAAATAAATTTGCAAAATTGTAAGTGGTTCTCAGTGACTCTTTTCTGCAGGTGGTTTGGGCTTTTACTGTAGGCAATCAGCTAATCTGAGATGAATGACGGTTTTGTTTCTTTCTTGCAGCTCATACACCTTTATTTTTTTCCATGCTTTCCTGTGATGGCTTGAGTTAAAGAGGGACGTGGTGCCTCACTGTTCTTGACCTTAAAGGAAACGTCATGGTTGTTTCACCACTTGGTCTGATGACTGCTGAGATTTTTGGTAGAAATCCTTTTTCAGGTTGAGAAAGTTTTCATGACTTCAAGTCCCAGTTTGCTAAGTTTTTTTGCTGAGGAAGATTAGCCCTAGCTAACATCTGTGCCAGTCTTCCTCTATTTTGTATGTGGGTCACCACCACAGCACGGCCACTGACGAGTGGTGTAGGTCCACGCTCAGGAACCAAACCTGGGCTGCCAAAGTGGAGCACGCTGAACTTAACCACTAGGCCACAGGGCTGGCCCCCCAGTTAGCTAAGTTTTAAAAAACCTCATGAATGCTTGTTGAAGTTTATTGATTTTGGGGGGGGGTATGTTTTGTAAGAATTTGTCCATATCATCTAAATTTTCAAATTTTTTGTAATAACATTATTCTTAATATCCTATTGTATAAAAAAAGTCTATGCTGAGGTATAGTTGATGTACAATAAAATGCATCCATTTAAAGCATACAATGCGATGGCTTTGGCAAACGTCCTCTTATCTTTTTTCTAATCATGCTGTACATTAGAGCCTCAGAACGTTTTATCTAACTGAAAGTTCGTACCCTTTAGCCACATCTCCCCTTTTGCTCCTTCCCCTCGTCGTGGCAACCGCCATTCTACTCTCTGCTTCTGTGAGTTCAGTATCAGGAGCTGTCGGAACTGGAACAGGAACGCACAGCTGAAGAAGAGGCACGAGAGAAGGAAACTGCAGGAGAAGAAAGAGAAGAGGAACCTCCAAGAAAACTCACTGTGAAGGGTTTAGCAGAAGCTCTTGCAGACCTCAGCAAGCTCTTTAAAAAGTTTGAAAACATGGACCCCAAGACCAGAAGGCTTCCATTAATAGAGAGGAATGTTCATGGTACATTGTCTGCTTATGAGAAAACCCATGATGAGAAAAAGAAACAAACGACCATGGACGTATTTCTGAAAAGAGTGACCCCTCCTCAGTAAGAGCCTCAGGCAGGTCCTTCAGGGGGTGTCCCAGAAGAAGGCCTGTTATCATAGGAGATGACAGCTCCATGCGTGTTATTGCCCCTGAAGACCTCCCAGTGGGACAGGATGCGGAGGTGGAAGACAGTGATGTTGATGACCCTGACCCTGCGTAAGCCTGGGCTAATATGTGCACTGTGTCTTAGTTTTTAACAAGAAAGTTTAAAAAGTAAAAGAATTTAAACTATTTTAAAAATAGAAAAAAGCTTATAGAATAAGGATAGAAAGAAGAAAATACTTTTTGTACAGCTGTAAAATGTTTGTATTTTAAGCTAGGTGTTATTACAGAAGAGTCGAAAAGTTAAAAAGAATTAAAAAGTTTCTAAAGTAAAAGAGTCACAGTAAGCTAAGGTAACGCTATTATTATCATTTTTTAGGATTTTACTTTTCCTTTTTCTCCCCAAAGCCCCCCGGTACATAGTTGTGCATTTTTAGTTGTGGGCCCTTCTAGGTGTGGCATGTGGGATGCTGTCTCAGCGTGGCTTGATGAGTGGTGCCACGTCCGCGCCCAGCATCCAAACCGGCGAAACCCTGGGCCATCGAAGCAGAGCACGCGAACTTAACCACTCGGCACGGGGCCGGCACCATAAGGTGATTTCTTATTGAAGAAAGGAAAATATATATTTATAAATGTCACTTAGTCCTAGTGTGCAGTGATGTCCTGGCCCC